TGGAATTGGACTATGTCTACTTCAACTTTGGTTATGGTTCATTCTAACTCTGTACTAACTATGGGGAAGTTCCTTAAATTCTCTAAACCTCAATTTCTTCATGTATAGATTTGAATTAATGGGGTTGGTGTGAGGATTAAAATAGATTATGTGTATAAAACTGTTAGAACAGTGGCTGACATATGTAAGTGTCCAATAGATGTTGGTATGGTAAGTGAGCTTTAACATGCTATAAGATAGAATGTTTCTATCTTCATTATATAGAGATATTTTACAGGTACTGGTTGGAAATTAATGTTAGTTATCTCTCTAAACATAAGTTCTCCCTCAAGGGGAAGCAACATTTCCCAGGGACCTCAGGAGTAACTAAATCTATTAAGTGATCAAGCAACCCATAAGCTAGGCTGCAGTGGCAGCTGCTAGATTTACTTGCCACATTTTCATAAATGTGTGAGACAATGAGCCCAAATGAAAATACAAAGCTTATTACTTATGTGGCAGTTTTACAGACTCACACAGAAACCTGTGGTTGTACCCCAAAATGAGGGCAAGGGAGTACTGCATACAGTTGAAACTATGAATTGGGATGAGAAATGGTTTTGTGAAAATCTCCCATAAGATATAGATGAGAAACTGTAGACAACAGTGGTTTATTAGGATGTCTGCCCTTGAAGACATCCTGAAGGCCATTCCACCAAAACTGAGGCCGGGCATTGCCTACGTGGTCTATGTGGTGACATGCAAAGTGTCCTGGATGCCATAGTAGAACTATAGCCTTACAGTGCCAATTAGATTAAGAAGAGGATCAAAAGCTGAGGGATACTCTTGGCCTGTTCCACCCTCTCTAAGAGTTTCCCAAGTTAGATGTCCACAGTTATAAACACAATATTCTGGTGACAGTGCTAAGAGATGGTGTTTCCAGAGTGCTAAGTGATTGGTGAGGGTTTTTACAGACTTTGTCAATTCATGTGCATCACGGTCTCTCCTTCTCAGGGTCTGATATGGACAAAATCCAGGCAAGAACCAAGGTGTGGTAGACCGGAAAAATCATGGAGTGGATAGGTACATAAGCTGTTGTTCAGAGTCTTAGGGAAGCACACACTTAGGTTTCCTCCAGATGTTGTGTGATTCTTTACACTGTTTTTTTTTTTTTAATCGGAAAAAGTTTATAATTGAAGATTAGGATTGTATCAGGACTCCTTTTATAATAGGTGTTAAGTTAGGACATTTGATGCAACAAAATTTATCAGAGAATCTTAACTATGAATAATGCAATTTTACTTAGCATTGTCTCTCTGCATCTTTTTCTCTAGGACCTGAGATTACAGGAGTACATTGGGATTTAGAGGAAATTTTCAATGGGAGCATGAATACAGCAGAAGGAGATACCTCAAAAATGGAAAAAAGTCTCCATAGGATTGAGTGTCTTTCCTTCTCAAAACACACATTCCATAAATATTAAACACTTCAGTTTTCTGATGTGCAAACTTTCATGTGCTTTTGTGCACACTACTCTTTCTGCTCAGAATGAACCTCTCTCCAAACCCTATAAATCTGAAGAATGCTTACTTATCATTTAGAATTATCTTAAATTCCTAAATACCTTGTTCTTCCCTACTTTGTCATCAGATAACCCTCACTCTCCTGTGCCTTGTATATACTTCTGTTATTATGTTTACCACAGTAAACCATTTTATTTCTTTCTACATATTTATTTGTGCTTATTAACTATAACATCTTTGAGTTCCAGTTCATGGTTCCTGATTTTGCATCCTTGGTGTAGGATTCTTTAAGTTTTTGTTCCATTGAATTGAATTGAATTGAATTGAATTGAATTGATTGGTTGTGTATTTTTCTATGAAACCATCCACACTCTTTCCTCATTTCCTTCTGACCTATGGCAGGTATTTGAGAGATGGACAAGTTTAAGGGCACAGTCTTTTTGAAATGGAGCAGAATAAAGTTAAATGAGCCACAAAGAGATCAATTCCTACCATTAGACCACAGAAGCCTAATACTCAAACCAACGAGCACACCTTTGAGGGCTGTAATGAAGCTAGAAATAGATATTCTCTTTCTTTGCTGTGGTTTGGCCTGTAAGAGATCTGTATTTCCAGACTTCCAGAAAACAGAAACTATTAAAATAAAGTAAATTCTTACTGGTAAAGTTATTCACACACTTAGTGGAGAAGGTAAAACTAATATGAATGAAATGTATTTTAAAGTCATAAAACAATTCAAAAATTTAAGGAACTAGAATAAGATTGAAAATAATTAAAAATGTGAACTACTTCAAAGGAATTTCATAATACCTATATTTTCTCAATTTCATAGTAGAATCATATAGTTTAAACTATTTGTAAGTTTATACTATCCTTTAATTTGAATTAGTAATAAATTGTCCCCAAAGGTCAGATGAATAGTTTATGGACTTCCTTTGTTCTATGAGGTGCTTTCAAGGAAATATAATTATTTACTTATCAAGAAAGTAAACATTTATCTCATAATAGGGGCTTGGTGGAATTAAGATTTTGTGTTATATATTCTACTTAATAATATCTATTTATTATATTTTACTTTGCCACTGTAGAAATAAATACAAAGATGGAATTTTTCATTTGGGCTGGATAGTTTTTTCTTTGGTGGATCAAATTTTGACTCAAGATAAATGGCCTAACAGAAATTGTAACCTTCTACAGATGTTTTCTGAACTTGTCAGATAGTAATGATCACCAAGGATACTTGTTAGTGCATGTAGATTACCAGTTAAATTTGATGCATTTGTGCTGGACTTTGTGAACCTGCTTCTTTTAATGTGGAACCAGGTGATTCTCAGTTTTCAGTACATGTGGACAACTGCATCTCTATACTATCACAATGAATGAAAAAATTTGGAACTTTTGCAGGTGTTTTTGGTCATTAATCATCATCTTTCCCGTTGAAATATTTATTTTCCTCTCCAGATTCATCTTTCACCACTAATCTGTTTTCTAAGGATAAGTCCTATTGTACAGCTCGCATGCTCCTTTTTTCTTTTGTCCATGATGTCTTCTGTGCTTTAAATCCTGGGGTCTATGCATTCCCTCACTTGGCTGACCACATTTGCCATCTGAGACTTAAATCTAGGTCCTTGAGGCATATTTCCTTAATATCCTGTGCCTTACATCTACCGTGATGTGCAGCATTCATCATAACACCCTTTTATTTTAAATCTCCCCGACTAGACCATGAGATTCTTATGGTCAGGCAAATTACTCTTCATCTTCCCAGATGACCATAAATCTGATATCTTCAATAAATTTAAAAAAAATAAAAGGTTAACAAAGAAATGAAGAGTACAAATTCTTTAGGTTCTATCTTTAGGCAAGTTTTATATTAATTAAGAGATCATTAACACAAAGACATTTAATTAACTAGTTTAAAAAGTATGGGGTGCCTGGGTGGCTCAGTGGGTTAAAGCCTCTGCCTTCGGCTCAGGTCATGATCCCAAGGTCCTGGGATCGAGCCCCACATCAGGCTCTCTGCTGAGTGGGGAGCCTGCTTCCCCCTCTCTGTCTCTGCCTGCCTCTCTGCCTGTTTGTGATCTCAGTCTGTCAAATAATAAAATAAAATATAAAATAAAAATAAAAAATAAAATAAAATCTTTACCAAAAAAAAAAGTAATACACATGCATGTAAATAGTGTAAGGTAATGCAAATTAAAAGTAAATTTTACCATCTCCAACTCATGATAGATAACCATTATTACTAGTTTCTTGTTTATATTTCTAGAAATGTTAATATAAATAAAACATGCATATGTAGATATAGATGTCATACATATTCATATATGCACAGATATACAAATATCCCTACATATATGTTTGTTTTGTGTACACTTTCATACAAAGAAAATACTATATTTATACCTAAAAATACCGTATTTATATCTAAATACTATATTTATATCTAAAAATACTATATTTATATCTTGGAGAAAATTTCACATCAGCTTATATAAATCCACTTCATTTCTTTTATTGGCTATCCTATTTTATGCATGCATCATGATATAGGTACTTAGTCCCCTCCTACCAGATATTCAGGTTATTTTCATTTTTTCTCATTACAAATAATACTGCAATGAATGTCCTTGCATATAAATCTTTGAGCAATTTTTCTTCACAATGGATTTAGGAGAGATATTTCCAAATTAACCTCGAGAAAGACTATCACAATTTGTACTCCCCTAAAGAAGACAAGAATGTCTATGTCTCTATACTCTCATTAACTTTGTATTATTCAGTTTATATATTCGGATGATCTCAGGTGTTTTAATTAGCATTTATTTACATATGAGTGAACAGGAGTGTTTGTGTGTGTATATTAAAGATTAGTATCTGAAGTAGGTTTGTTCTATGTTTTCTTTTATCTTAGATTCTATTATATCTCAATTTTTCTCTGCTCTACAGCTCTCCCAAAGTTTATTTTTTATGCTTTTGGTCACTACTTTTCTGTTCATTTCTGAAGTCCTATCTTTAATACTTTATTTTATTTTTTAAATATACGAAACTGTTCTTCAACATTTGCCTGTTTGAAATAGTTGACAATTTAGGTTTATGATTCATATAATGTCAGTTTGCCAATTTTGCCATTATACCCACTCTAGAGCTCTGGGTTTTGACTACCTGCCCACCTAGAGTTAATAATGCTTATTACTTAGTCAATAAGTACAGAAAAAACTTTTAAAGCTAAGAAAAGTTCTAAATGTGAGGTACATAAAGATTATTTAGAGTGGAAGGCACAGGCTTCTAGTTATGGAATGAATAATTCATGGGGATGAAAGGCACAGCATTGGGAAAATAGCCAGTCTTGTAGTAGTGCTGTATGGTAACAGACGGTAGCTACACTTGTAGTGACCATAGCATAATGTATGGACTTATCGAGTCACTGTGTTGTACACCTGAAACTAATGGAGCATTGTGTGTCAGGTATACTTCAATAAAAAAGAATATTTATTTAAAAACGTGGCATGCTTCTTGATTTTGTGGATCATCCCTGCACAGGGGCCAGGCAGATCTCTGTATCGTTTTAATTTTATCATATGGGCTCCTGAAGCAAGCACTAGACTTAATTTTTCTGATCATAGAGTTGTCTATTCTGGTATAATTTGTGTATGTATGCGATCACCTGAATGTGTGTTCCAGTATTTAATTTAACTTGTCCTCCTACTTAAAGGCTTTATCTGTTGGAGCTGCACTTGAGGAAAAGCCCTGAAATGATCTGCATTCTAAGTTTTGTGTATGTTCTAAGTTTTAGCATATTTCATCCATCTTTATCCGATTCCAAAATAATAAGGGTAAACGGGAGATAACTTTTAGTTATTCTCAGATTTTGGAAGTTTTTGAACACCGAGTGTCACACGTATCTTAAAGTATGAGATCTGTTGCCATTTGATATCTCTTATCTCCATTATAAAGTTTAACATCTTGCTTTACCACCCTCGTTTTAAATATGTATTTTAAAATTTTGTGTCTTAGAATACTGATGCTCACACATAAAGAAATGTTTATGTCTGTTAACCTTTCGCAGGGGTATCTCTCTCTCTCTCTTTCCATCTCTTTCTCTCTGTCTTCTTTTCCCATTCTCTCTCTCTCTCTCTCTCTCTCACGAAGTCAGGAATAGAAAGCAAGAAGAGACAGGAAATTGACCTCTTGACCAAGTTGTTCTGTTTGGTGAGGTTGTACCACATTGCCCTTACGAGATTTACAGTAAAAGCCGAGCAGAGGTCTGGAGTAGAGGGACTAACAGTGTTAGGATCAAAGGCCTAATTGTTTGTTTTCTTGAAGTTAGGGTTATTGGCAGCTGCCATTACACCATCCGTGCTGCTGTCACCCAGCACAGCCAACCAGCATGCGCTAATTGCAGTGGCCTTTTCATCAAGTAAGATCATCCCACTAAACACAAAGACCTGTCTCTCCATTAGCACAGACAGTAGCCAGCTAGATCAGCTGGGCTCCTTGAGTATGATTGGACTGTCATATTGTTATGATTTGTTCAAGTTTAGAGCATTTAGCAGATACCCTTTGCACCTCTCTTTGTACCTGAATACTATAACCTGACTGCCCCTATCATTTAAGAGGGTACTATAGCTTTTCAAAGTTCAGCAACGCACAATTGCAGGCAGGCAACTGGTTTCTGACAAGAGATCAATACTGTCCTTCCAAACGCTGGAGTCAAGCTGCTGGGTCTGTCAGAGGGATGTGTGCTGTAATTGGATCATGGATGCTGCGAGTCATCTGAGTTTCCCTTCAGCACTGTCACAGCTGTCAGATGTCATCCCTTTGTACAGCTGTCACTGCGGGAGGGTTGGGGCTCTCTTTCCGTTCTAACCCAATGCAAATGTCCACTTAGCAGATGAATATTGAAGATATTAGACACTTCTTTATGCCTTTATGCAAAATAAAGATCTGTGTCATCTGTGAATTTCATGGAAATAAGTTGCAATTTATTCACTGTGAGAAAAGTGAAGTGAAGCCTGTAAAAATGAGAAATTATTTGGTTCAGGCTATTAAAAAAAGGAATATTTTACAGAATAAACAACAATATGCAGATCTTTTCCTTGAGATGGAAAAACTAATAGTGTGAAGTATTTAAATGGTCACCTTATATTTGGAAGATATTTAAAATTATGTATGTACCTTTTACTTCATCCATATTCTTAGAAAAGAGATAAATCTTGGATAGATTTAGGTTCATTTAGATCATTAAAATTTCTTGGAAAATATAAGCCCAATATCTCTTAATACATCAATATGATAAGATTAAAGGAATGTAGTTATATTCAGAATCAGGTCAAAGAGTCTCAAGAAAGTTGTTAAGACAGACAGGAGAATCTCAATAAAATGAGTCTGAGGTTTTGGCCCCCAATAATTTTTTCTCTAAATTATTACAAGTGAAATAGAGGGACACGTCCATAGTGGGCAAATAATTATGTAATTAATGAGTGGCTTTATCAATTTCAGTTACTTTTGCTTCTGTTTAAATTAAAAAGAATGTCCAAATAGAAATCCATTTTATTTCACTGTACTGTACTTATAACACTATGTTTTAAGGAAATGATGAATGGTTAGCTTTGGAATTGTGTAACTTGAGTCCGGTACATCTTCAACATATAGTAAAAATAAAGAGATGTCACTGATGTGGCTTTGGCAATTATGGGTCCATGAATTTCCCTAGACTACCCCAGAACAGAGTACAATTTTCATTTTTTTTCACCATTTTTTTTTTTTCTGCCTCTCTAAGCTGATGTCAGAATCATTTTTGGCTGGCCAACAGAGTAATTTTTGATCTGGGTGGCTGACTTCCTTTTTCTTGAGGTCCAGACCACACACCACCTTCTCTGTCAAACAGGCAGCTTGCACTCGCCCCACTGACAGAGTAGCATGAACCCTATTTTCCAATATCTAACCTTAACGTCCTGTCATCTACCAGGGGAATTACACTGGGTCAGCCTCTCAAAATATCTGAATTTTTTGCCTCCATCTTGCACGATGGAGTGACCTCCCCTCATGTGACGTGGCTCAAGGTTTTTAGAGCCTAAAATTAGTGACTGCCAGAATCGAAACATATACATTTGGTCCACGTTGGGGGGTATGGCAGTGGGAAGAAAGGGAGCCCACAACAAGCAAACACACCCACTGTTTTCATTTAAAAGATGAGGTGTTTGAAATGATAACATTCCCTAAGGAGGAAAAGAAGTCACATTTTTCCTGCCTCAGTTAGCATTTTTCTTTCAATGGGATTTTACTTTTATAAGAAACAGGCTAGAATCCTATGAAAATTAAAATGTTTTACTCCAATGAAATGAATTATTTAGCAATCAACTCCTAGTTGACTATTGCTGGTACAGTAAAATGATCTCTAACAGTTACTTGGGCAGAAAATATAAGAACGAATGAAGTAAAAATTTTAAACTTAGTTTCTTAAGGTTTTTCTTCTGTGATGATAACTGTGAACTTTACATGCAACTCTGGTGACTCAAGTAGGCACTCCTTTTTTTTTTTTTTTTTAAACATGGTTTATGGCTAATTACATCAGAGATCCAAAACACTCTTTTTTACATTTGCATTAATAAGGGTGTCACATGACCACATTGAAGTAGAAGTATACATCAAAGGTAGATTAAAGGTTGGTTAAGCATCAAACCATGTTCCATATGTAAATTTATAGCAATGATGTGCTGTAGAAAGATAGCTTACCCTCTATTTCTCTGCTACTAAATAAAATTAAAAATTCACAACTCTGGTTTATGGGATTTTAAATGAATTTGATCTCTCTTTTGGGCAGGGCAAATAAGTGTTTTGTGATGTATTATTTTATAAAAAAAAAAAAAAGACCATCGTTCTGGCTCATTTAATTTTGCGAGTGAATGATCTAAGATTAACTACAGACTAGTCAGTGCAGTTTAAAAGCTGAAAGCAATTTTCAGCCATAGATGGTAATGCCACATTCAGTCCACAACCGAATGACTCTAAATGACTAAGCTTCGAGGTCTTTGTATATGACCACAGGGCCTGATAAAGCCATAGGAACACAGTAAAAGCACAAAAATAGTTCCAATTTATTTGGTGCCATCACCTTAATGAGATTAATACAGACGTGTTCATGTGCCTAATTGGTGATTTTGTTTTAACTAGTAATGAAGGATTAAAACTTCAGGCAACAGGCTGCTTACTGGAGAAGGGGATTTGAGGGGAAAAAGTTTTTAATTATAAAAGGAAGTCGGTAAAGGATACCACAGCAGAGTTAATAATAATCCTTAAAAAAAAATAAACTGATTAAAATCTGTACCCTGGATTGCTCCTGCCATTTGAGGAGAAAGCAGGATTTTTTGAGCAGTACCACATACTGCTTTTATTTACCGATAGACCATTTGGCATACAAAAACCTATAGAACTGTTACTTCTGGTGAAAAAGCCCAAGAATTGAAAAAGCATTGGCCCCCAGGCCACTGTGGGATTTTGGTTATGCAGTATTGTGTTCTAATTTATTCTTTTAACAGTGACTACAACGGGATGACCTGTAGCTAGCTGTCCTAGGTCCCACAGCATCCTTGTAAACCAGAACCCCTTTGGAGGAACGTCACCTATGACTTGCATCGGGATTGCCGTCAAAGTCCAGTTGTAACCATTTAAATGCTAACAGTCTTGAGCACGCTGCCAAAACACAAACACTCAGCCTATGTCATTAAAATTTAATTATAAGGGGGCAGCTGAGCCCCGTTTGAGTTTTGAATCTGAAAAATCTTGTTTAAAAAGAAATAAAAAATGAAAGTACCAACCAAATCTATTAACATCTGTCTCTACCAGCCCAGTGAACTCTATTTAAATAGAATTGCAGGTTTTATCAGAGTTCAACAGCACGCTCACAATCCTCACATTAAAACCTATTTTGATTATGGCTCCTCTGTCATAACCATGAGGTGGACCATTGTTTTATCTCGCTGGTGGCGGTGAGTGATCTAACTTGGGCCATGTGTATCTGCCCTCATGCTCTTTTTTTTTCTTTTTTCCTTTCAGCACAAAGAGTAAAATAAAGGAACTCTATCCCCACACTGCGAAATGAATAAAACAATATTATCTCAGCAATTATTCACAACCCCCTCCCCCAAAACTTGGCCCCAACACTGACGGTCATTTTGATGAGGGAAAAAACCCTGAAATGCACGAATTTTGTCTTTGATGTTCTATTATGAACCCCTTTAAAAGGACTCTGGGTAGTGATATGGTGCAGTGTAAGATGCTACCTTCCCAGAGAATGAAGACAGAAATATATTTTACATTTCTTGTCAGATTGAACTTTAAGACATCCTGACTGCTTTCTCTATAATTTAAACATCACAGCCAAAATGGCAACATGCTTTGTTCAGTTCCAGTGGTGTGGAGTTTTAGTGCTTCATTGATTCAGAGGAAGTCTGAGGCTGGCACCCTGAGCCGGGCGTCAGAATCGCTCTCTCACTGCAGCATGTCAAGCCATTATATCTGGGACCAGAATGTCACCGTGGTCTCAATGGTTCGTCAGCTGAAGGATATGGTTAACAAATGTAAAACCAAACTTCAGAGG